AAAAATAATCTTGGATTCGTTGCAATCGGTGGAGGATTTCAAAGGAAGCAGTTATTAAACAAGCGAACATTTACATTTTTATTTTCATATATACCTTTTTCAAAATGTTTTTATTGATAACATTAAAGCTCTTCAATAGCCCCCCTCCCAAAAAAAAAACAGAAGAGAAAAAAACTATTGAATCTCTCAAAATAAAGATATCAGATATATGGCAGGCCATGTGAGATGATAGCCCTCCTAGTAAGTTGAAACATAAAAAAAAAGTGGTAAACCATGGTCTACACAATATCGTAGCAGCCCCTGGGAGGAAGTTACCCTGGCTAGCTTGAGGATTGGTGACACTATACTCATACACACACACCTTATTAGAAAACAGCTCACTCCGCCATGTTAGTATTGTCATTGTATGCTTTCTTTTAAATTTATTTTGAAGAATGTAATCACAAGATTACAAGTATAAATAGGATTGACCCCAAATTTTTCTGTACTACTTAATGGCAATTTCATCAGTAACTGCTCAAAAGCAATAATATTTACATTTAAAAAAAAAATTCCACATTCTTTCAAAATTATTGTACTTTTAGTTATTTTGTTTACCTTTTATTTCTCTTTATTCTGTTAGTTTATAATTTTTGTTTGTACTTTTCTTTTCTTTTTTAATATAGTCTAAATTATTTACAAAATTATAGTTTACATAAACCGTAGGCGTTGACCCAAGTGTTTTACGCCTTTAAACAATAACAAACTCAACTATTTTGTTTCTACCTATTTATATAATGATTGTATTTAGTTTATAATTAAAAATAGTATATTTAAACTTTGTAATCCACTCAATCTGTTATAATCTTAGACCTTAAGGGTCCAGTGAGAGAAAAGCCCTTATTGTTCTCAAGCCACGGGGGTCTTGTTCTACTTTTTCTGTTCAAGGCTCACACTTCTTTCATTGTTCAATTAAAAGATCTGTCTCATTTATATATATATATATATATATATATATATATATATATATATATATATATATATATATATATATATATATATAATATTTAAAAAAAAATTATAATTCGACCTTTATATATTTTAACTTAAGATATGAATTATAGTCGGATAATAGGTCATGAAATTTCATGCCTTCCTACATTCATCCGATGATTCGTCAAAGTCTATTTTTTTAATAAAATCTAAGAAATCTTTTTTAAATTTTGTCATCAGTCTCTGTTCTGTTTCTGGCCAAGTTCCTAGTTTCAACATAACGTTTTGTATCATTCTTGTACAAATATTGTCTAGTTTTCTGCAGTCGAATATGAAGTGTTGAAAATTGTGTAACATTTAAGTAACATTTTAATGAACTTTATATAATTGAATTTGCATTCGAAATTCATTAAGAAATTTTAATTTAATTTTTTTTTGTTATTTGCAGTCCTAAAAATATATTTATTTCCAACAATAAATTAAAATACACATAATAATGAAAAAACACACTATCATGTTTACAATTATGATACATACTTTTATTGATAAACTTTCAAGCACACACAGAACGTGAGTTATCCTTATCTAACGTAGTTAGTAGTTAATTTTGTTAGCCATCTCATCAATTAATCCAATGAAAGGTAGTTTTGGCGTTTTGCTTTATAACCTTATTTAGTGAAGAAAAAAAATCATAAAATAACTTGATGACTTTTTTTGCTCTCTTAAGTAGTGGGCTTAGTTAAACTATTTTTTACGTATAAAAGGATTTGTATTATTTTTATGCATTTAATGAATCATTGTATTGCTAAATAAATGTACTTAATGACTTTTTGTACTAAACCGAAGATATATATATATATATATATATATATATATATATATATATATATATATGCATAATTATTAGTTGGAATTTTATATAAAAGTAAACCGAAGATATTGAAGTATTATAATGATATTTTATAATTATTTTTATTTAAATATATGAAATACTAATTATGTTTTTAAATGAAGTATTAAGAATTTAGTTATTATATTTTGCTTCCTCGCTAAGGGTAGGAAATGTTTGTATCCGTGCGGGAAGTTGAAAAAATATATTTCTGGTCAGAATCGAAAATATCCACTCACCTTTCACAAGATGTGACCTCAACGAGATTTGACGAGCATATCACCTACATCTGGTTATCTGATTTCCATGAAAATTTTAGAGATTATGCGGGTTAGTACCTAAATGATCCCATATCAATTTCATCAAATTTCATCCAATACTTTCTCTAAATCACGCGTTAAAGTTTTATTGAAGTTTGGTATTGGTGAAAAATTAATACTTTATAAATCTTATCGAATTACATTTACTAATTTCTTTTACATATGTAAAGACGTATTTTCTTTGATACATCTGTATCTCAAAAACCACTCGTTCGATTTGGAGCAAACTTGAATAGAAGCATTGATAAATAAAGTAGAAATCGATTTCATCAAATTCTACCCGGTATTTTAAAAAATTGCTTCCTTTTTCGGATCTGCAAAAGGTATCGTTCTTGATTCGTCCATTGTTTGAAAACGACTAGATCGATTTTACTGAGTATTATAGGAAAATTGGAGAGTAGTATACAAATTTCCTAGTATCAACTTCATTAAATTCGATTTAACGATTAAAATTCATATAAATAATTGTTAAAAATATATTTTATGTGAAATGTAGAAACCGTTGACCATATGGAAAAATTAATTTTTTGCTGTATCTCTATGAGGTTAGTTGTTTTTTTTTTTTGTTTTGTTTTCTACGATTTTAGACTGCATTCAAACTGTATTATGTTTTCTATTTCTCGTTCGTTTCTGTTAATTTCAACCAGGTTTTTGTAGTCACGGGTATCCTTAAACGTTAAAGTAATAAGAGAAAGGCTTTTTGAATTAGTTGTTGTTTAAGGATAAAACGTAGATGTAAATAATGTATAAACCTTTTTAATCAATTAATTATAATAAATTTTTAGAATGTATAATCCTTCTTTTCATGCAATTTGTTAACGGAAGTCATCTTCTTATATTACAACTTAAATAAATTTTGTTGTTATGTCATTAAGTGTCACTTTTGTTCACACCATACAAGGGAAAAATTGTATATTTTTTAATCGATTTTTTCCTCATACATTTTGAGATTGAAAGCTAACACATTAAGTAGAATATGTACATACATACTGTACTGGGAATTGTTTAAGTCTGTATATTTTTTTGTTATCACTAAGAGTCAAAAAACGCCATTCTCAAATGTGGAGCTCATCTACATTTTTTATTCGCTGATAATAAAAAATCGTGGATATCAAATCCGTGAATGTTTTTGGGTGTCACTGCATTTACTTTAATACAGCTCCATCCAAAAAGTTTATTCTCAAAAAAATATTTACCTTGAGATATACGTAGGAATAAGACCAATGAAAATTGTGAGAAATCTATACTGCCCAAAAAATGAGGCAGGTGATTTTTATTTTTTATTATTTTATGTAAATATAATGGATAATTGTGAATTATTATTAGACTAATTATTTGTTAATGTTTTTCATAAAAAAGTGAATATTTGAATTAGAAAAATTTATTCGGCCACTTAATACAATTAGGATTAATTGTCATGGCCGAAATCTGTGTCAAATTATAAGTCATAATGCACAGGTTTTTGCAAAAATAATTACTTTTAACTTTTTTTTTAATAAAAAAGAATGCATTTCTGTGATTAATTAAGTACAGTACAAGGTTGTTCTTTGATAAAAAAAAAGGTTTCTTATAAATTATTTTTATGTTTGCTAAAAGTACAGATACTATAAGATGAACGAATATCAAATTATCTATTTTTTTTTACTTGACTAAACTTGAATCTCAATTTATTACATAACAAACTGTATATTAATTATATTGAATATTTAATAGTTGACCGTTGCAATAGAAAGGAAGGAGATGGTGCGGGGTGGTGGTCATAAATAGCATAAATAGTGCCAAACTATTTTACTAAAAGCCAACGTTTCGACCCGAATTTGCAGGTCTTCTTCAGGGCTAGAACGGACAAGATGAAAAAAGATAGAGAGTATCTTGTAACTTAACTATTTATGAGTATCTTGTCCGTTCTAGCCCTGAAGAAGACCTGCAAAGTAGGGTCGAAACGTTGGCTTTTGATAAAATAGTTTTGCCACTATTTAGCCTATTTATGACCGTCACCCCGGATCACCTCCTTCCTTAATATTAATTAATATGAACTTAGAGCTTAATAAACAAGGACGTTTTTTTTAAGTGGGGTAATTATAGTCCAGGTGTAAGCTGTTAAAAATATCGCTATAATTTATTTTATGAAAAATATTCGTATATTTCCTTTTAGATGGTTTTAACAAAGACGAATTCCAACTCCATTTAAACCAAAATTTGTCAAGCTTATTATAAAGTAATTGCAAATTACTTTAATTGGATATTTTTTTAGTTATCGTTTTCTGCTAAACAAAGAAATGTGACTAAGTAAAATAAATATAGATCTATTTATCTATTACCTACCACACCATCTGCCCATCTCGATTTTGTTCTGCCAGCTCTCCTCGTTTAGAGTAAAGGCTCCTTAAGTATTCTTATCGGGATTTCAGAGTTCTCGATGCGAGCTATGTGTTTTGCCAAATAAGTCTTCCTAATTGTATTATTCTGGCCACATTAGGTTCATTGAACAACTCGTAGACCTCTCCATTTTTTCGAATTCTCCAATCCAGTCCCTCCTTTACAGGACCAAATATTCTTCTAAGGAGTTTCCTTTCAAAGACCGTAAGGTCTTTTGCCTAAGACTAAAAGAAATAAATAAACAAAAAAAACTTAAATATTCCACTTTTATGAGGAAAAATGGGACCATTATTTATATAATATTTTTAATAATCCTTGATGTCTGGTGTCACCACTACAATTATTTCCATTTACTATATTCCACAAGTTCTGTATATAAAAACAAATAATATATATATCGTATAAATATTATGTATCCTTTAAATAAAATTTTTTTTCAGAAAATTTACCATGTATTGGTAGCCAGAGAATGAAGAAAAGGCACCTTTGGTAAAAACATTTTGTTATAATAACTTCTGTGGCAGTTCATTACAACGCTCACATTTAAGGTAATGTAGTATTAAAGATATAATTTTATTACATAATTTATTATTTTATTTTCTGTTTTCTAACTATTTTAACGCTAAAATGTAGTCAAATTTAAAATGGCATTAACATATATCTGTTTTGGCTAGTAGTTTCTTATGGAAAGATAGTTATCTGAATTATGCCAACACTGAAATATGGAACATTAAGGTTGTTATGGATGATTTTATTTGTGACAAAGTAAAGAGCTTTGAAGATTTTACGAAGAATTTTGGATTGTAAAGATTGGATACGTGAGGGATTAGCTGGTTTAGTGCAACCCCAAAGCTCAACTCCTTATGTCCAAATAGGCCTTATTATAGTCTTATGTAATTAATTGGCAGTTAAGAGCTTTTTTCTAGTTAGTGCTGAAGTAGTTAGAAATATGGAGCGGTTTCTTGTCGTTTCATTCTGGTATGGATTCCAAGTTAGACATTTGTCCAAGTGGAGTCCTAGATATCGGATTTGAACAGGGATAAGTGGGGTATTATCAAAGGATACTGCAAGGCAGGAAGTCATAGGTTTACATCCTCGTGTTAAGGTGATTTGACTGGATTTATTGGAATTTATTTTAATCCTCTAATTTTGACACCGTTCTTCAAGACATGTGATGTGTGATTGAGGAGGTCGGGATGGATTTCATTATTATTAATCAATTGGTTTAATTGGTAGAACTCAAGTGTCATAGGAATGCGTGGTGATGACAGTGTTAGGATTAGTTTAAATGTCACTTGTATGAACTGTGTAAAGGATGGGACCTAAGATACTACTTTCTGCAACACCAGCAGACTGGGAAAGAGCGATGAATAGGAAAACAGATTCAATTTAACATTTTCAAATTCAATTAAAATCCTAATAAAAGATTAATTTGTAATTATGTACGCGAATGTACAACAAATACCTACCTTTTTTTTTCAATATATAGACGGTTTTTCATCCACGTTTACTAAGTAAGTAAATTTTGTTACCTATTGATTTTGAAATCATAATATATTAATATAATTCCATTTTTTTGAGAGAATCATATATTGTTTTCTTTTATCATTATACATTTTATTTTGTTCATTTTTGATTTAATTTATTTTATATTATTTATATATATTTTTTTTGTAATTGCTTATATTTTTTCTTTTGTGTATATATTATGTAAAGGTACACCTTTAAAAGAAACAAAAACAAAAGTTAGGTAAAAAAGATCGAAAAAACATATCCTATTGTCATCTGACCAAGCCATCCAAATACTGAAGAAAACAGAAGTTTTTATAAAAACAGCTGATTACCAAAAGTAAAAGAAAGGAACGTATACCTAAAATATAATAATACAAAAATGTATTAATAAAATCAAGAGGCCGTAGTGGTCGACCGAGTTAAGGCGCCTGCAAACATTCTATGCAACGAGTTCAAATGCCGTTTGCGGTTTTTAACAACAAAAACAAGTAAAAATATAAATAATTAATAATAACTTAAAATAAATAAGTGCAGTTCCTTGTCTATGGCTTAGACCACTACGGCGCAGGTTCGATTCCCGCATGGGACGGTAATGTTCCCACCCTTCATTCACATGAAGGTGAGCGACCCCCGTGTCTAACAAGAAAGCTCCTTGGTCGTCCAGATTGGGTGTTGGAGATAGGGCTAATAACTCTATCTCGTAAAAAAAACAGGATAGAGATGTTTGCAAAAGCTTGCCAACCATGAAGAAAGAGTGTTTGTGCTCGCTTCCAGTTATTATAAACCACGTGCTCTCTGGATATCTATATAAGAGAATCAAACGATCGCAGCTATCGTCTAGAACAGTACCAATACTGCTAGAAGACTAATGACGGAAGTAAAATAAGTCGAGAGGCTTAAAATAAATAAATATAGAAAAAAAAAGAACAAAATAATAAATACAAAAGAAAAAGCTCTAAGATGTATATAACATCCACACCCTACAAAACTCAAGTGTTTTATATAATCTCTCTTTTTTGTGTTTATGAAATCCGTTTCTTTCAGTATCGATTGTAGATAGATGACTTGGTCGTGACAATAGGATGTGTTTTTTTCCTCCTTTTTTACCTTTTTTTTTTTTTTTGCCATATAGGTGTTCATTTAAACATAAATATAAGCAGTTAAAAACAAATTAAAAATATAGATACATAATACCTTTCTGTACCAGACCAGTAGAGCGACCTTCCTATATTTTTCACAGCTTACAATTTAAATACTCCATCCAATCCCATCTCACTAGATCTCGTACTTCCGACCTCTATCCTCCTCCCCACCGAACTGCTGCGTTTGGCAAATCCTTTGCGATTCAAGCTGCTTCCCTCTGGAATTCCGTCCCTACTGATATTGGACACGCACAATCAGTTTCCTCTTTCAAACCTCTCATTTTTAAACACCTACTACTTTCCCTATCTAAGTACTCTCAGAGAATATCTCAATTTATTTACGTTATTTTAGTTTCCTATGTCTGTCTTATAAATACGTTGAATTTAATTGTCTTTTTCGCTCTCTTTCTTTTATATCTTTATTTTTAATTAACTCTTATTGTAAATATGTAACTTTCTTATGGCCACACAGACATGCAATCTGTGCTTATAATTTGATCTAAAGGGACAACAGTCCCAGAATAATAAAATATATTTTCATTTCAATATAAAAATAAAAAATAAAGTATAGGATATTTTACTTTGTATATTTTTTTAATAATTTATATTTATTTTCCTTGTGTGTATATATTTTATGAATAGCACTGATATTTATTGTCTATGGGTGTGATAGATTGGGTTACTATACAATAAATAACTATTTAAAAAATATTAATCAATTGATCTTCGAGAAATATAAATGATGAGCTTACTACATCAAGAACAATAAGAAATTCCTATTATTTTCTTGAGGAAGCCTTTCACAGTTCGCTGTTTATATACAATGCGTGTGTTATTACTACAGAGTTCTGATGTGGGCAGTCTCAATATAAAAACCCAGCACCCACTTTTATTCCTTATTCATAGGGATTTATATTCATAGCACCAACCGCTGCTTCGGTTTTATTTGCAGATTCTTTTGTTTTTATTCGGTACATATGATCAAAAAATTTATATACCGGGTAAAACCATCGTTTGTTTTCTTTTGGTGAAAAAACAACATAAAGTTGATAGAATCTTTTGCTGGTCAGTTGAAGATGATATTTTTACCGACTAGCCTTTCCATAGGGTACGGTTTCATTTTTTATTTATTTTTAGAAGAAAAGGAAGATAACTTATTTCCTTCTCTATTAAATGTTCTTCATTAACCAGGAAGAAGTGAATGAGACATTCTTTAAATTGGGTCATGAATATTTATTTGAAACTTTTTTGGAAATTTTCTTTACTTACGAAAAAAACGAGAATTCCTTTAGAAAAACACAAAATTGGTCTTAACTCATATTCTGTTCGGAATCGTTACATACGTCAAATCAACTTTTTTGTTGGAAATTTTGTCTAGAATCATCCTTCAGATTTTGGACATTAAGAACTGAGACAACTAAACTTATTATATTTGTATATTATATATTATTATATTTATATACACTTATTATATATACACAAAATGTAAGAAAAACCGAATCAAAAACACCTAAATAATAATCAAAAATATTTAATTGTCTTTGATGATTAGTAAGTGACCCGAAACGTTAGACTGAATAAATAATAATAAAGATTACCATGATAAAAAATCTTCAATTATATATTCCTTTAACCGTTATAACTCTTCATAAAAAAAAATAATATATCAAATAATAATTAATGAAGGTAAGAGACTAAGATTGTTTGGACAGAGATGAGTACAGGAAGGCGCTCAAGAGAATAACGATTCTTGCGGGCAAGAAGCGCTCCAAAAAGGGTGTTGCGTGGTCTGAGGAGAGAAAACGTAAGCACGCGGAGCTCATGAGGGGAATATGGGAGAAGAGGAAGAGGAAGCATTCAATTTGTGATATTGGCGTGGTCTTTAAGGCCTGTTCGTGTAAAAAAAAACAAAAAAGAAAAAATTAATGAAGCTATATTTTTGAATGAAACATCGAGATGATATCAATAGAACTAATTGTAATTAATTGACGAATTAATCGGAAATAATGTATATTCTATGATAAATATATAGAAAATATTTAATATGCTTTACATGTTAAGAAATTCATTCCATATCTCCATGGCCTTATTGTAAAGTAAAAAGTGAGTCATCCCACGTAAAATATATACAAAGGATAGAATGACCTTTCTTTAATCGCCTCCTGATGGGCATGTCAGCTGTGGTCATGTCGTTGATAAGTCCGTTGCGTTGTCTGTGTAGTTTAAGTTGAACTCGTGATGTTAAGTTTTGTTGTTTACCAGGGAGCTGCTGATATTAGTCTTAAAATTGTGGATTGAAATGATTTTAGATTTTGTAAGTCTTTATTATATTTTTGTGAGGCCTAAGTTCATGTAGAATGGAGTAGGCAAGTTAAGTGGTATGTATTTAGTTATTGTCTGATTTTCAATTTTGATTTGGAAAGAAGTGAATATAATATTTTCAGTCGCTTGTTCAAAGTCTTCCGTTTCATTTGACGTGAGGGCTCCAGGTCATACTTCAGTCGAATATTAGCCAGACATAACGCACAACGTCTTATGTCGCCGATATAAACTGGAGGGCATTTGTTTCGGTAAAGTGTATTTTAACACAATATTTTAATTCTTAAATACTTTACATGTGATAAAAAATCCATGAAAACTATTGCAAAGTGACTTGGCGAAAATTAATATTAAACTCGAAAACAACACATTTTCTGGCTTCGAAAGTCGAGGTCTGGTATCCACTTTTTTCCAGCCCTGCTTTCTTCTTCGATTCCTGATGATCCCTTGTTAATATGGCAGTCAATTTCAATAAATAAATAAAAATAGCATGTTGTTAAATACAATTTTGTGATTTTTCACGATTTAATCTCATTTTTCAAAAGTTAATACCATCATTTTAATTTTTGAAACCT